AAATGTTCAACAACTGACTGAGTGATCGAGTTCATCAAACTATGTTCGTAATAGAGGTCATGAACTTTGCTTTATTCATAATCCTATTTCTGCAACTGACTCATATTATGCATCTTATTATATAATATTATATGATTTATTTTGATTAGCAGTGTCTCATTAGCCATTGGTGGCTCGAGGCTTTTTGGATGATTGTACAGATGTATATGTATGAAATTAAGCATGCGACACTTAAATAAAAAACAATACAATATTAAGCTTATAAACTTGCTGATCATATGATTTTAATATTTTAATACTACATGATACTCATATCAAAATACCAATGTATTTGTGAACAACTCTTACGTTTGATATTGTACGAATTTTCTGATTTGCTGTAGTAGTCGTAAATGCAACATATAACAATGTTATGTTACTTTGTGTCATATGAAAAATAAATTCGTACAAAGATGAGTTTTATTTCGTTTGTTATTCAATGTAGAATACACGTTGTACATTATTTCATGTATAGGATATTGACAATAATCAGACTATCGTATTACAATACAGAAGAATAAAAGAGATAATGATATATGCATTCTAATTTGAGATTGACATGCGTAAAGGTATCAATATTTTATCTAGTATTTCATTTTATCCCTCCCATCCCATCCCACCCGCTCATCAGCAATCCCCAGAAAATTCGTTCGGTGCTTTTAAATGTTAATAGTTCGGTTAAGTTTTAAAAATAAATCTTAAGCACTTTAAATCTAGATAAAATATTCATGATTTGATTGTGATTATCATTTCTAATTATTACATGACGGTTCCATTACATTCAATGCGTATCTAATCCTCATAGTTTATACTCGATTTTCGACAGGTAAAGGTAATATATCAACCCTTGGTCCCTACTATTTCTCGTGTAGATATATTGCATAACTTTCTCAGATATATCCTGTATATTAAATACATTAAATAACATTATATATGTTAGTCTCAGCCTAGACAGTATATATATCAATTTTATTGGATAATGCCATGGGCTTTCCCACGATGATGCGTAAATTCGAATGAACTTGAAATGAAATTCAACATCCAAAATGTGTTAATTTGATCATCCACCGTGTAACTAAAAGCATATTCATGGCCTATTTGCCTTAAAATACGATTGTGATTATGATTTCGAATTCTGTTCTCCATATGTAAAATCTAGAAACATAACAGAGTTAAGTTACACGAAATTCAGCCAACTTGAACATGAAGTCTTGTCAATTTACTTAATCGTTGATTGATTTCTAGGTTTATTAGAATTAAAAGAACGAACGTTTCATCAAACGAGTCCTATATTCAATATCTATTCGTTGGGCCCATTCTTTAAATGTAACTATATTCTTTTAACTTTAAAAGTATCTGTTTAGTGCTACTTTAACATATATTCATTATTTTTATCCGCACAACAGTATCAAACGTTAATGCACAACTAGCCATGCCAAGACATGGCCACTACCCTCGTCCAAAGTAAAATACAAGGTCCTCATTCTTTAATGATTATGTTTCAATTGATTTAGTTTAGTGATTTAAATGTAGGAAAATGAGTCACTGTGATGTCATATCTGGCGCAGCAATTTCAGAGTCACTGCAAAAAATTGAAACATCAGTCGGATCATAAGACTAAATAAAAAAGCTATTTAGGGATGAATAACATTCGGTGAAATCCGTGATATCGTTATATCATTCGTTAATTGTCAAAGCTGCGCCCATTTCTCGGTGCAGGCAGATATAAGGCGGCCAGACTGGGCATACACAAAATGTATTGTATGTGCTCCTTAGGTTGCACTCGGGTGCTATCAACATCGAACACACACACGTTTAAGATACACAGAGATAATTAAGGGATGAGTGACAAAGGGATGTTAAAAACAGGTGGCTATTGCAATTGATATTTTAATGTAACTTTAGTATGTAAGAACCTTTTCATCAATAAAAATAACATCTTAGATATTACAGCTACATGTACAATGTGAGTGTATTTAAAAATGTAGTACATAGCTAGTTCCATCTATAAAGATGTCTGATGACAAAAAGCTCAATTTTCCTTGATGTCGTGGTCAATGGGACTTTAACACGTGAACTAATGTTTTTTATTTTTTTGTTTTAAAGTCACTTATAGCAAACCTAATCTAACAATTATCTCACTATATGCTTATGACATATTCATGTATACGTTGTTTGTCTTTTTTTCAAATCAACCCACGGAAATATGCAATACACCAAGTTAAAAAAGTGGTATGAATCATAAAAGCGACGTTGGGTGTTTCACTAGTAATTTTTATAAGAAAAATCTAGAAATATTACCCAAATTAAACTATGACTATTCAAAAGAAGACATTCAAATCTATATTATGTAAAAAAAATCAAATTTGTCCGAAGCAGGGATAACGCTCAATTAGAGTGACGAACTTTGTTCTCCAAACCGAGAATGGTCTTTTATGAAAAAAGTTATGAAAACACATCACCAGATCATGTAAAGCTGTTTTACCTAAAAGATCGTTTTATCTTCACCCTTCGATTAGATTTCATGAAAAAATATTTTTATGAAAAAATAGGATTTGTAGGATATCGACGCCCTAACATGTAGTTTTAATCACACGCAGGTATCTGGTTTTATTGCGTGTAGAATGTATCGATATCAGGACCGCTACATGCCAGTGACCTTGCTCCTTTCTGTCGTATTAAAAAAGCAAAAATAACATATCACGGTGGGGTGCGAACCACTCGCCTGGGACTTGGTTATTCACTAGTACCATAGGCGTTCATCTATTCTGGATACAACTGACGAGTTGTATTTACGTGCAGTCAAAAGTGAAGATCATTTTGAATTGACGCTCGGTATAAATATATAATACTTTTATCCTTTCGTATCGGTTGCCTCATGGCTAACGTGCCTAGCTTCCATGCTATAGGTTAGTCGATCGAGACCCGTTCATGGCGAATTTTTTGATTTGCTTGTTGTAAAGATATAATAAGTAGGGCAAAATCCAGAAAAAGTAGATCAAAAATACTCCAATGGAGTATAAAATTGTCACCAGGATTCCGAAATGAGACGAATGTAAACTCGTTAAATCTCGGTAGATGAAGTAGGTCAGAAAATCCGGATAAATCCGAACAAGGTTCGGAAATCTTCGTCATAAGAAGTAGATCAAAAATACTCCAATGGAGTATAAAATTGTCACCAGGATTCCGAAATGAGCCGAATGTAAACTCGTTAAATCTCGGTAGATGAGGTAGGTCAGAAAATCCGGATTAATCCGAACAAGGTTCGGGAATCTTCGTAATAAGAAGTAGATTAAAAATACTCCCAATGGAGTATAAAATTGTCCCCAATATTCCGAAATACGACGAATCGAATCGGCAAACTTCGGTAAAATAATGAAGTGCATAAAAACCGAAATGATCCGATGAACGTTCGGATAAAATCGTGAACAGGTGTCAGGGGTTTCCCCTCATCTTTCCCCACATTGTTCTAAAAGCCTTATATGGATTTATCACGTAACATTCAAAATGACGTTCCTATATGGTTCTATGGGTTCGAACACGTGACCAAATATACCAAATAAAAATTTTACCTTGACCACTGGATGGGATTTCATAGAAAATATCCAAGAAAACCTATCCTCGTGATCCTTAAATCACTTAAATTCGATCATTTTATTTTCACCCCTTGATGGAATTTTATGAAAGAAGTCATGAAAACACATCATCATGTAAGGGTTTTCACCTAAATTAGCTCGTTTTATCTTGAGCCTTCAATTGAATTTCTTGAAGAAATATTTTATGAAAAAATATCATCATGTTATGATTTGTATTTAAATAAGACCGTTTCATCTAAATACTTGGATAATATTTCATAAAAAATGCACTTTAAAATTTTTCAGAATTTGCCTTAATATATCAATGTAATGAAAGTATAAGATTAACTCTTAAATAGCGTTCTATTTTAACCTTTTTATTGAAATCAATACAGGACTCGCTCTCTAAATATCCAATAAAAATTCAACCCTTGGATGTGATTTCGTTGGAAAAAAAATATGTCAATTCCAGAATCAAATGATTTGTCCAGAACCTCTTAAGATCCTGTTTTCTGTGAATACTTTACTTATTATTATATTAACATAGATATTATATTAACATAAATAATATAATGATATTAATTCAAATGAATGTAAACATTGCTTGATTTTAAAAATGTGCTAAGTTTTACTTACGCATTTTGATACTTTTAAATTGCTATCATATTTGTAATAAGGTAATTATATTCAACCGTTAGAATCTTGAAAGCATACATCAACGTTTTTATTATATGTTTCTTTTTTACTTAAGGACGTTCGCATGCGCGTAGAAAATGTTATTGGTTCGGATATCTACACCTTTAAGCTGAGCGTCCCATTAAGCTACAATGCCACAGTGACGTCATTGTCTGTCAGTGGTATCTTATCACAACCATCGGAAGTCTACATTTATGGAAACGTTGACCTTTTTGAGGAGGAATGGGAAAATAAAAGAGGGACAGTGCTGGTGCACATTTGGTAATAATTTGTTATTAACAGTCATACTTTCAATCAAATAAAGGCGATAAATCACACATGAATAACATTATATCATAAAAAGGCAAGCAGTTAAAAGTCAAAATGAAAAACAATTATCCCAATTATCGAAAATTATGATCTAAGTGAAAAAGAAACAATAAATAACACCAGTCAGGAATGAAAATAAAATACTTCATTGCTACCGACGTTATAAAATTAACAAATTGAAATACAAACCAAATAGGGCTTCCATTAAGGATCTTTTTGATATTCAAACCCTTATACATCTACTCTTGACTTTTTAAGAATTGAAAAATTATGACAAAGTTTTAATTACAATTACAATTACTTATTACAATTGTAATTGTTTATTAACTATATCCTTACCCCTGCTTGATATTAGTGTAAAGAACAAAGGAAGAATTCGTAAAATACCAGCACTTACCGATCTAGTAGATAGAGGGCGCTATGCAGCAGTATACTACCCGAACCCTGCAGACAGTGGCTTATTCGAAGTTGTAAGTAAATGCAATCATAGTTCACATTGTCAAATTAACATTGATTCCAATTTATTGCTATATAATTACATTTGTATTTTATGACAGGGTGCTCAACACCCGTCTGAAGACAGGTGTACTAATCAAGCCCAATGGACAGTGCTGGGGATGCAAGTGCAGCCTGCAAGTGCCTATCACAGAAGATTTTTAGATGATAGCAATTTGACAAAAGTTGCTCAGCTAGTTAATACTGGATCTCTGCCACTATACAACATATCGGTTCAGGTATACAATGTTTGTATGCGCAATACAAAGCAATACATTTACTCTGGCTATTCAGTTGACTTATAACTTAAAATAACATTACAAGTTCAGTGTGTAAATCATTTGAAAAATCCAAAAAACGTTAATGCAGTGTTATACAATATCTGTTTTAGTTGAGAGGATTTGGACCACCACTTACAAGACTTATTGTAAAACCCAGTAATAGAACCGCTACCAGCGATAAACTGTTTTTGTCTGACCTAGATGGAGGTCAAAGTATGCCATTTGATATTGAATTAGATGCCAATGGGTCTGTACGAGGGAGGATTGGCATTATATTTACTTCCCAGTCTGGGACAGTTGCTATATACTGGTTAAATCTGAGGCTCGATGTTCGGACACCTTTGCTTAGAGCGAACCCAAATTTCCTCTCTACAAGTGTGAATAGAGGGGAGCAAAAGATTTTTGAGGTAAACAAATACTCTTTAAATAATTCACCAATTAACAATACGAGATATTTGACATTTATTATAATATATAAACAATAAACAACTTAACGTAAGGTGTACTCGGGTTCGCTTACTCCAACTTTGGTAATAAATCATAATATTTTTATTTTTATGTGTTTTATTGTAGATTGATATTAGCAACGAAGGGATAATTTCCGCTCTTGATGTAAGAGTTCAACTAAGTGGTGACCCTTTGATATCTCTCATCTCGTTTTCACCCGAATCAGGTAATATCACGAAGTGATTGCACTTATGAATAGAAATTGGGACTGGTATTGTAGTTTTTAAAATAAATATAGTGGATCCCACATTTGCTTAACTTCATCTTTTGTTCAGAGTAGGAATGCTACTATATGTATTTAGAGATAAAGTTGAGTTATTTATTTCTCTAAACTCACAAGTCACACATAATTCCCTTCAATAATAGGCCAATATATTGATCAATATAAACACATTCTTCACGATTTACAGATAATTATACCGTTAGCTCGGATGGTTCTTTCACCATCCCTGCCTCAACAAAAGCAACATTGTCTTTATCAATAACAGTACCTCCAACGGAACCGATTGGAGACCGGCGTGGTTCAATGATAGTTCGATCGGAATTAACGGAGGTTGTAATTGGATATAAAATTCTTATCACGTCAAGTAATGAAGTTGATTTGAGAATACGAGTAGAAGATGAATATACATATTACACTGATGGTGACCCGTTGGTCGTGGGTGCTAAAGTGAGGCTAAGGAATCCGCAAAAGGGAAACGTTATTGAAACCTACACGACCTCAAACAGAACAGGTACTTCCATCTTAAAACTTTTTTTTGTGAAATCAATGCTTAATTATGCTTACCTTTTTATAAACAAAATTTTAACTCTACTATCCTTCGCATTCGTTGGACTTCACTTCTTAAAAGAGAGCTTCGTTGTCGGTAGTTTATAACTAGGCTCTGCGCCCAGGGTACTCTACTGTAATTAATTACAAAAATTTAATCGCAAAAAGTGAGTGAGATTTCATTAAATACTATTTTCCAAGACCAGAAATCCGTATAAAATGATTATTGGTCTTGTGTAACAGAACTGCTGTTTGACGATCTTGAAGAGGCATACTACAATTTACATGTGAGTGCAGACAGACATACGTCATACAGTGCTGTCATTCTGGCATCTCCAGCTAACCCGAACATTACAGTCTTCCTACAGAAAACGGCAGTGAAGTATAGCTGGACTGTTACACCTGTTACATACCAGGACAAGTACATAGTCACCTTAGATTCAACATTTGAAACCGAGGTATGTTTTATGCAATATAACGAAGCTATAACTAAACATTGAAAAATGAATGTGAATGTATATATATAGAACAATACAGAAGCATATTCAGTACAAAAAAATGATATACTATGTACTATTTTAGGTGCCAATGCCAGTTGTTACAATAGAGCCACGACAAGTCGACCTGACTGCCTTGGAAGAGGGAGAAAAGAATGAAATTGTATTCACGATAACGAACCATGGATTAATAAGAGCACAAAACCTTAGATTTGCACTTCCAAACAATCATCCAACACTTGAATTCATACAGGTTAAGATTATTTTCTAATGCCTATTATCAAATTTAAAAGGAAAATCATTTTTATCAAATCTACATTTCCAGTGACAATTAAGGACTTTTTAAAAATAGGCTTAATAGAGATATGACACGAAACAAAGATACACTAAATAACATTTATTTTTTGTGAAATCGTTTCTCTTTCGTCTAAGAGTCTAATAAAACGATTGATACTTCAGTTATAAAAACAAAAGTTATGTACGCATGCTAGTATTTTATACCATCTATGCTCTATTATTACTCGTATTTCAAGAAAGGCCATTTATAAATAGATTGTACAATATATTGCTAGACTGTTCTTTAAAAACAAATCTAAAGTGTGTGAAATAGTGTTTAACGTCTTTGTTTTATTTTACAGACTGTTCCAACTATTGGTGACATTGAAGCGAACACAACACTTATAGTTCCAGTAGAGGTTCGCGAGAAACCTAGGCAAAAACGAAACTTCCTTTTGTGCCTAGCCTTTGGAATAAAATTACTTTGGGACTACCTTTGTGGGGTTCTCAGGACAAACGATCTCGATGTCATGCTACAGCGTCGCCAAGAGATGTCACGTATTCCCCCTAATGTATGCGGTGGTGGTGGTTGGGGATCATGGGGAGGAAGAGGTGGGGGATATATAGGTATGTGCCTCAGTTGGGATATTTCTATATATGATAAATATAATGCTTGATGCATGCTATGCACAATTTCAAAATGTAAAATGAAGGGCGGGACACCTGAATTAACATCTTTATTTGTATAAGCCATAAAGAAAATAAGTGCTCACCAAAGATAGCATATTTCTTTTATTTTGTGAACAGCTCTATGTATAGTAAGCATAATAGACATTTGGTGTTCCTGCAAAATATATTTCAGTTTGATTTATACAGTTAACGTAATTTGAGATAATCATTATTATGCACCAATTGCCTTGTAATATGTAGGAGGTTGGGAAGGACCTGGTGTATCAACTGTTTCTACCAGCGTACGTAACTATGAGGCTGTGACACCAATGTCATGTGACTGTGCCAAGAAACTAATCCTTGACTGCCTTCTGCCTATGGTACCCGGATTTGGACCTATATATTCTATTGGACGTAGGGTATACACATTAGGAAAGGCAATCGGTAAAAAGTAAGTTGATATTCAGCTTCGATTCATTTTCATCGCTATTTGGACAACAGGCTAATTTTTAAATACTTGGTTAGTTATAAATAGATATCTGACGAAAAGATGCACTATGGTTGATATTTGATTTTAATATTATCGTCGTATTTTGAAATATATTTTCCAGACGTAAACGTCGTGATCTTAATGGTGACACCATACATGTCGATGACCATAGCTATCCATTGGCACGGCCAAAAAGAAAGAAACGATACATTCCCAAACCAGTCGATGCAGCTGCATCATTTAGTTCAAAGTATCGCTGCCTCAAAGCTATAGGCGAGGCTATTGGTAGGACATTATTGAAGTACAATTGTTAATTTCAAATTTTGCTCTTTTGACTTAATTATCCTTTTTAATCATGCATTTTGATCATTACATCATTAAGCGGATTGGACGGATAAGTATGTATTCATTTTGTAAATTTTGTATTGTGTATTATGCAGGTGAAAGTCTGGCAGGAGAAAGCCTTGGAAACAGTGCACTTAAAATCGGGGGTGGTTGCTTACCTGGTACCGCTGGACAGGCAGTAGGGTATGTTCCTATTTAGGTTAAAATACCAGTTTATTGCATCGAAAGAGAAAAATATTATATGGTTACAGTACCTGTGTAAAGTTTTTTTTACAATAATAATATATATATTTCAGTTTTGAGTCAATTATTACAATGACGTACAGTTTTTATTTAAAAGCAATTTGAACATAGTTGCGTTAAAGATCCAATATGCTCACACTATGAACTTTAGAATATTTTGTCTGATTGTTGTAGCTGTTTACATATCATCATAGCTGAATGCCCAAAACTAAACGCTGCTGCAGCGGCAGGAACTGGGAATAGGAAAAGGCGTTCGACAATACAAGATGTGTACGTCAACATGGCGACAGTGAATTCCATAGTTTATGACATGTATCAGCTATCCTACCATATGTATGGTAATAAAGAAATGTAAGAAAAATTAATTGGCAAGGTTTTGAACTCCAAAGTTTTAATTGTGCTCCGATGGGCACCTTTTCTACATTCGCCATGACATCTCGTATTCAAAATTTGCGAAACCTTGTTGACGAAAATTTGAAAAATGCTCTAAGATGTTTCTTATAACTCTGGTCTTTCCATTTTCGGGACTCGTGGGTTCGTTTTAATCGAATTATGCCAACTTTCACCAAAACGCATATTTTTAGATGGGTTTATCCTCTTAATGTTATCGCAGCTTGTTTTTTATTAGGTTTAACCTTGGTCTTGGGTTATGGTATCAAGAGTTTGAAGAGAGTATATCTGACAACAGCGATCTGGGGACATCTTTATCATTAAACGAATCAGCTAACGTGTTACAATATATAAATGAAACCGATCATGCTTTGGTTTCCGAGTTCCTTCAGCGATGGAACAACAGTGTTAATTCCTGGAGGAATGGTGTGACAGAACCTTCGCAAAGTCTTGATATAATTTCAAAGTCACAGCTTGAAGAGACCATGAAGAAATTCACAGAAGAACATCATAAATCTGTAGAGGTAAGCCTATGACAATTTCTTTAGAGTTAATTTGTAAAAATATGAGAAAGTATTGTGTCATATTTGTAAATCTGTATGTCTTATTGATCATACATTGCTATTGTCTTCAGTGATAAAGAATCGGACATACGTATTTATAATCGCGTATCTGGAGCAGGAGCAAAATTGAATCACTGAGTTGTACATTTCAGAGAGGATTCGACAACGTGTTCGCCGAGTTCGACAATGCCTACGTAGCAGTAAGGGATAAGTTCGAAAACCAAAAGGTAATACTCAACAATGATATCAAAGCTACGCACATCATATTCTCAAAGGCGTTTTAATTATTTTTCATAATTACTGTATAAGTTCACCTTGTAATACAGCACGTACACAATGAAATGTTGCGCGGAACATGGCATTTATTCATGGTTGCGCTGTATTTGTGATACGGCTGAATATGCCATACCCACCCGCGGTATATGGCATATTCCGCAGTGAATATGCGAATCATTGATTTCAGCGAATACCCGATACTCACCTGCGGAATATGTCATACTCACTTGCAGAATATGTCATATACCACAGGTGAGTTTGGCATATACCGCAGGTTGAAACGTGATACAGAAAGCATTGGTTTGATTGGCTGTGAGAATCGACTCTAAATGTAAAACGTCGCTGTATTACCGATATAGTTGGTGCTTCGAGTACTTATGTATGAATCCTGGATTGATTGAGTTACTCTACACGTGAAGTTGCTGAGTGATACTTCTGCATTAGTTGATATATCCAATGCACTTTACTGTTGATTCATTCTGTTTGTTCTATTGCTACATCTGACACTGAAAAAGCCAACCTTTTCATGAACCTTTTCTCTGGCAAATATCACCATGATGAGCTTCATGGGGATATGGTCTTTCCTAATTTTCCAAAAAGGTGCAATCAAGAAATTGACAATATTACGACAACACCTGATGAAATAAATAAAATCATACAGTCTCTTGAACGTGACAAAGCATGCGGTCTTGATGGAATAAATAACAGAATGGTGAAAATTGCCTCAGCCACTCTATCAATCCAACTTTCTTCGCTTTTTAACTTCATTTTCCAAAAGTCAGAATTTCCTGACTGTTGGAAGTTGGGAAATATTTCTCCAATTCATAAGAAATCTGACCGGTCATTCGTTGAAAACTATAGGCCGATAACATTATTAAGCACTTTCTCCAAAATTTTTGAAAAGGTACTCCATGCTAGAATCATGAAACACCTTATGGATAATGACCTCTTATACAAGTTTCAGTCAGGTTTTCTCCCAGGCCACAACACAGAACTTCAACTTTTAGCAATTACTGACTATATTTATCATCAAATGGAACAAGGAAACTGTATTAACTCGGTATATCTCGACATTTCGGCTGCGTTTGATACCGTCCCGCATTCGCTCTTAATACACAAAATGAAATCTTATGGAATTAACGGCAAAACAATTGATCTTTGTGATTCTTACCTGAGGAATAGAAAAGTTTGTGTATCAATCAATGACCAACATTCTAAATTCTCAGACAACAACTTCATAAACTCTGGTGTTCCTCAAGGCTCAGTAATAGGCCCCCTCATGTTCCTCATCTATATAAATGACCTCCCAGACAACCTAGACTCTGAAGCATACATATATGCTGATGATACATCTCTATATTCATTTTTTCATCCATCAAATGCTCAAACAGATCAGATTCAAAATGATCTTAATAAAATTAATCTGTGGTCAAAGAAATGGTTCCTTAAATTCAAACCTTCCAAAAGTGCCCAAGTCATATTCCACTCAAACCGGATCAAAAACTTCCAAAAAACGCCACTTTATTTTGACGGAGAAGTCATTCCATGTAAAACTTCACACAAACATCTTGGATTTATCCTTGATGAAAATTTGACTTATGAAGACCATATAAACTATCTTTCACGGAAAGTTCAAAAACTCCTTAATCCACTCAAGTATCTGTCAAATAGTGTAAGATCCAAACACCTTGAAACAATGTATAGCTCCTATGTAGCATCAAATTTTGACTACTGCAGTGCCTTGTATGGGTCTGCCTCATTAGCCCTATTAGCAAAACTTGACAAATTGCACTATCAAGCAGGTGTAATATGTGCAGGTGTTCTTCATGGCTCAGATACCTCCAAAGTTTTTCAATGCCTTAACTGGAAAACCCTTAGTCAAAGGAGAAATGAAAAAAATGTTCGGATAATGTTCAAAATAAACAAAAGAAATGTAGCACAATATATATGCGACATATTTGACAAATATAAAAACCCAGCCACCAGACTACTGAGACATTCTATGCCTTACAATATTCCAACTAATGTTTCTATCAGACTCCTTAAAGCCCCTGTCTTAAATATTATAAAACAATGGAATAACCTTAGCCAACTTATAAGAGAATTACCAACCATCTCTAGTTTTAAAAATGCTGTTCGGTCAACAATTCTCCCAAACATAAATTTCATTCCAACAACCAAGCTAAACTTAACAAGGTCAAATGAGAAGATTTTAAACAGACTTCGTGTCGATTTCTTTTTAAAAGAACACTTTTTCTCTCATAATTTTATTGGTGTAACCGACAACAAGTGTCCATGTGGATCCCCTGAAAATACTAAGCACTTTCTCCTTTCTTGCCCCCGCCATACTGATGATAGGACAAACATGATTACTGCACTTAGACAAAACAACCTTCTCTATGATGAGAACATCTACACCAACCGAAATGATCAAGTCAAATATCTCCTCTATGAAAATACCCTTAGCCGTGATTCACAAAACTTGCTTCTTAACATTGTGCTCAACTTTGTTAGATCATGTTACATTTACCCATTGAGAATCTAAAACTTGCCCAAACCTCCTGGACCAAAATATCCCCAACAACTAAGCATCTAAGCAATTAACAACAAAACTTTTCAATAGTTTTATGCACTTTTTTTGTTTTATTATTACTTGCTTCTAAACTATATTTATGTTAAAGCGACCTGTAATGCCAAATGGCGATTGGTCTTGCTTTCTTGTACTTTGTAAATTACTATGATTTAAGAATAATAAAAACATTAACAATAATAATAATAACTGTTGATTCAGTAGTCATTATGATAATTTACAACATTTTACCTGTTCGTTCAATCGATGCAATTGACAATTCCGTACTTCCGTATCACAATCTCATTAGTTAGTGAGAAAGCCATATACCACAGGTGAATCGGTCATACACCAAAAGTAAATATGCCATATTCGTTGCGGAATAAGACATATATTTGTATCGCGTTTATCCCGTAACATGAAATGCAAGTATTGCAAATTCTAAATATTGATAATACTATCCTGTATATTTATAACTTCATCTAGAAAGAAGAGGGTGTATGTGCCAGAGTGAGAATACGAATAGTACAAGAAGCAGTTCTTACACGAGATGCATTCAATGGAAAGCTTGAGATTGAAAATGGCGAGAATTCTGCTTTAACAAATATTAAAGTGGAGCTTCACATCTTCAAATCGGAAGATGTAACTCAAGAACATATGATAGAGCATTTTGCAATAGGTATGAAGCTCGTAGCTACTGGTTATATAAATATGTCTTAATAAAAATGGTTATATAACATTATAAAATCGTATTTCATTTGAATCGTTGGAATACAACATTTACAATTATGCAATATACTTTGATTCTTTGTTTCTCTGTACTTTTGGCTGTAACTTCTTTACAAAACAAGATGTAATCTAGTCTTGATTGAATCTTGAAACAGACATCTTTGTTGACAGGAGATCCAGATCTAAACGGAATAAGCGCGGTGGATGGTTCGGGGAGTCTAGCTAAAGGGAAAAGTGGGTCTGCCGAATGGTTGATCATCCCTTATTCAACAGCTGCGCCAACTGAGGACGTCCTATACGACATCGGAGGTGTGCTCACCTACTTTGTTGATGGAGCTAATTTTACTGCCCCGCTGCTTGCTGATAGCGTAACTGTGAAACCTGACCCACGGCTGCACATTCATTACTTTCATGAGAAGTATGTTGAAGCTGATGATCCATTCACAAAAGATGTTGTTGAGCCATCTATTCCATTTAGCTTGGCTGTAATGATAACAAATACGGGCAATGGTATAGCGAAAGAGTTTAAGATAACATCAGCTCAACCTGAAATAATCGAAAATGAAAAAGGATTATTGGTGTCATTCAAGATTATTGCTGCACAATTGGGTAATGCAGATATATTACCATCTTTGACGATAGATTTTGGTGATATAGGCCCCCATCAGACAAAAACTGCCCGATGGCTTCTGGAATGTTCGCTTAAAGGGAAATTCTTCAACTTCAGTGCAACGTTTGAGAACATAAATCCTCTGGGTGACCCTGAACTTTCCGTGTTAGATGTTCTTGAGTACCATGACTTGATTCACTTGGTTCGAATGCGAAGTAATATAACCCAGTCTGATGATGGGTTCCGGGATTTCCTTGTTAATGATGAGATTGATGGACTGGATATGCCCGATGTTGTGTATAATAGCAAGGACCAATCCAAGGAGCCAGTGTTCGTAAGTCTAAATGTGACATATGAAAGAGCGAACAAACATTGGTCAGGTAAAGAGTATAAATACATATATGTCAATGTTCCTCTCAACTGGAACTGTACCGATTGGCTGTATGCACGTTTTGAGCATGACATTGAACTAGATGTTGACAACCACTTACTTCAGGTCACAAGACATGATAGAAAGGAACTTATACGACCAGAAAATGCCTGGATGACATGGCATATAGAGGATTCTCAATTCGGACATTTGTTCGACCATTGTCCGTGGGCCTTGGACCAGGCGTTTCACAACTACACATTTATTGTTGGTCCCATCAATAACCATGATCCAAAAGTGAATGAGTCAATCACATCGATTGAGGTTAAACTCCCAATATATGAGAAACAGTATATTTCCACCATTGATGCAACTGATACTGACAATGATGGTATCAGGTTTATCTTAATTGAAAATTCTGACTATTTCCAAATTGATAGCAGCAGTGGTGTTATCACAGCAGTTCAAAATATTGAATCATTGATTGGCAAAGAAACTATCCACGTTGGTGTTGAAGATGATGGAATTCCATCAAGGAAAAGTATTAGTGTAATTGATGTAATATTTGAAACTGCTGATATAACAACAAAAGCAATGACATCTCATCACACGGCTGAAACTAAAAATGCAACAGTCCATCTAGAACTAACTACAGCGACACCTGCTTCTAGTACAACCACAAGGGCAACAACATTCAATTACACAGTTGAAACCACAGTTGGGATAACCCATACGGAACGTACTACTTTCACATATGCGACTAAGAGCACCACAAATGCAGCAACAACCAGTCACACAGACAACACCACAGATGGAATAATCCATACAGAAAGTACTCCAATGATATCTACTACTAATAGAACTGCAAATGCAACCACACTTGACCATACAATCGAAACCACAGATGGGATATCCCATACAGAACAAACTACAACTGACATCTACAGCAATGTTACACACTCAGCAACTACGGTTCTTGGGTCCACCTTTGAAGAAAATTATTCAACAACACCTGACACAACGATATCCATGAAGCCTACAGTGACTTCTGGATCATCAACTCCTTCCAAAAATTGTGAGTGGGGTTTACGACATTGTATTTGTTAATGGTATTATGTTTGTTAATGGCATTGTGTTTGCATATTGCAATAAAAATTATAGTCTAGTTTATTCTAATTTTATACAAGTTCCATTTAATTTGTGTTACAGATTTTTTGTCTCAAAGTGGAAATACATTTTATGACCAGAGTACACTTAGATATTTCATTTTTCTTGCTGGGCTCTGTACTAAGTTCACGTCTTTTCCCTTTGTCACTGGTGTGTACATAGTTACAAGTTCATCACATAAAATCAGCTGCAATTGTAAATCACGTAGGAATATAGTTATGATAAACAGAAAATCTTGATTCATGCGAAATGGGAAAACCGAAAAGTATTTGATACCAACTTCATTTAGAATCTATGGAGTGTGTATCCGATGGTAAATACGTAATATTTTTTCAATTCTTGCTAATTTGAATGGTAATAGTTGCAAAGTAAATTGGTGATTTCACGTATTGATGATAATATGTTTATAGTTAAATTGCACAACATGTAAGTGCAAGATGATATATAATAGAAAGTGAGTATCACTGTATCGTTGGTTGTGCATACATTCATGATAATAAATAATGCATATATTTAATTTAATTTCAGCTGGGTTGCTTTCTTTGTTGTTGACGTTGAATATGTTGTGGAAGGCCGTGTTCAGTAATGTCAATGCTCCTGAAACAAGCAGTTTGACCGATTTAATATTGCGACTAGTAAGTCTTATCACAATTATCCTGAAGAGCCGTGGGAACGATATTCTGCACTCTATGTGAACATTACATCAAAACATTAATGAAAACTAAGAGGCAAACAATATATATGTCAGTTTGACCAATAACGTAGACGTTGAATTTTTATCATTATTGGGCCATATAGCTTGACCCTGATATTGTTAACCAGAATTTCTAGATATACACTGGCAGATCCAGTTGGGGAGCATGGTTCCAGCCCCGCCCACTGGCTCCAAAAAAAAATTTGGCCAAAATACCAAAAATTGGCCTTAAATTTTCAAAATTTGGGCCCAATTTTGAGTTTTAGCGGCCCATCGTTTTTAGGGGCCGGACATTTTTGGCTAACTCAAAATCCCCCCCCCTTGATAACTTCTGGACCCGCTGTAATATAAATTGATTTAATGGGTATAATTGCGACAATTTAGCTCTGAGGTTCAAACAAGTATTCTCATTTAGAAATTTTATAAGATGTGTATAAAAATTGTAGTAAATTATTCACAGCTCTGATATTTTCACTTTAATACTTTAACAAACAACCTGTTTTATTTTTCAGTTATACGATGCATTCCAAGGAGTGCCAAATATTTTAAAAGTCATCATAGAAAATTTAAGGTTTGTATGAGACAAAACATTTATCCCATTTGTTAAACGATATAATAAATATGAGGCAAATTTCTGTAAACATTTGTGGGAAAGTAGCTATAGTTTTAGTAATTAGGGTACGGACGTTTACTATTATTATACACAAACATGTTTTTACCTTTGCTCGAGACGTGAAATTAGTCTTTGCAAAGATTCAAAGAGAAACCGTCATACTTAAAACTTCGCACTTCTTTTTTAAAATACATTCATACCTGCAGTCCTGGCAGTGTAATTGTGAAACTAGGAATCTTACTGACTGAGAGGGCTGACAATAAAACGGCAAATCAAACCTGTGATGCTTTGAAAAAATACTTGGAGACTGTAAACTACACGATCGTAGGAGAGAAAGAAAATATTACTATCAAAAATGATAGTCTAGTTGTTAGTGAGTATTTAGCAGTAATATATGTCAAGTTTATTTTGGAATGTACTAGTATATTTTTTAAAATGTATGATAAATAGAAATACATCATATTCGTTTTGATCTTGGATGTCAGTACTAATGAAACTGGACGTACGTGTAAGTCTTAAATAAGAGGCTTCACAGCAAAAAAAGTGAATCAAATCCCCGAATCCTGGAGGCAGGATTCAAGCAGGATTCATATGCACATATGAATCCTGTATGAATCCTGCCTCCAGGATTCGTGCAGGATTCGCTGTTTAAGTAGTTTACAAATGAATCCTGTAGCCAGGATTCGTGCGGGATTCATATGGAAGGTAGTTTACAAATGAATCCAACCTTCAGGATTCGTGCAGGATTCATATGGAGGTAGTTTACAAATGAATCCAACCTTCAGGATTCGTGCAGGATTCATATGGAAGGTAGTTTACAAATGAATCCAACCTTCAGGATTCGTGCAGGATTCATATGGAAGGTAGTTTCCCGGGGGTAGTTTACAAATGAATCCAACCTTCAGGATTCGTGCAGGATTCATATGGAAGGTAGTTTACAAATGAATCCAACCTTCAGGATTCGTGCAGGATTCATATGGAAGGTAGTTTACAAATGAATCCAACCTTCAGGATTCGTGCAGGATTCATATGGAAGGTAGTTTACAAATGAATCCAACCTTCAGGATTCGTGCAGGATTCATATGGAAGGTAGTTTACACCCCTTATAATTTTCCAGTGGTTTTAAAGTTCAGTACATATACCGTTGTTCTTAGACTTTCTCATTTCTTTTTTACTTTTCACGATTTTTACATGACTTTTACCCGAACATGATGATCTATCATCCAATTAAAAAAATAAGGTAGAAGTTAAGATCGATTATCAACCGTCCCCAGTGGAAATTTTCATTTGCCATACATACAATTCCTCGGAATTTTAACTTCGTTCATGTATGGGCGCTTATTAGATGTCTGAAGGGTCTATTTTCAATTTTCTAAATGCCCTGGGCGCTAATTACAGAGAATAAGATATTCCAATTATTTGGGATTGTACGACTTTTCTGAATGATTACGCTACACATATACACGCATATGTGAGCCTGAAACTATTATTTGAATATATTTTAAGATAAGTTCCTAATGCGTAAATCTCGTTTGTTCCGTCTACATTTATGGCAAGGTCGCATACAGGACCATAGATATCTCTTTGTTTTCAACATTTTGATAGCGATTCTTTAACATTTTGGATCATAAAGACTAATCAAGGATAAAGACGCTTTACCCCCCCCCCCCAATCATTTTCAATATGTACATGTAAGTAACATGTAAGTATAAACATAATGAGACAGAGTAACCCGGGCAGAAAAACTACTCGCATTATTATGTACCCCGAGTTAGATCCTAGAAGTAGCGAATAATGTAAATTGATTAATACACTGTATATATAGGCAGGGGAGTAGCAAGCTTTCAGTCTGTTGTGCTCTTTTCTTCCTCTATCTCATGGCGATCGCACACCGCTCCCCCCTAGCTACGCCTATGCATCTATTGAATGTCCATTTTAAAATTCTATATGGACATAGTTATTTTTACTATTGGACTGTTGTGGATGTCACAGTGCCTCCCATCCATACCCCCCCCGCTAATTACAGGTATACACTTTTTACTCATAACATCTTCCTGTTTCACCTGAAACATGGTCTGATATTATGAGGCATGTTCTGTGATCTGAGCACATCAGATGAGAAGAGTTACAACTGTCAATAAGTGTGAAAGTTATCATGTAATAATTTACCTAATGTCAATACATTACATACATGTAATAGACATGTATTGCATTTAACAGCAGATATTAGCACCGGCACAAGTACAACAGTTTTATGACCCCACTCTAATCATAGCATCTTTCTGTTTCTCCTGAAACATCTCAGGGCTGAGAAGAAATGAGATGTCATGCTTTATCATGATGTTATGACCCCGATTAGATGAAATATTAGCTGGGATGAAAGATCAAAATCCTCAATATTGTACTCTCCTAGACTCTCCTAGATCACCAAAAAACGGTTATGCGCAAACAAATTCATAACTCCCTCAAAACACACACTATCAACACCAAAAATACCTCACAATAAAGGATGAAAGAAAAACAACACAACCAAACCAGACTTAAACAATAAACCACACACAGACACAATCAACTAATATGCATACACCCTCCCAATACAACACAAATATGGGAAGATCAAAATATCTGAAATACGGACCATTAAACCCCACATTCAAGTTAATATCTCAACAACAAGATATGATACCAACATAATACACACACCAACAGGAAGCAAAAACATTAAGCAAGCCGCCTGAATCAACAGAAAAACGATTTACCGACCATAGATCCACCCTAAACACCACCAAACCTAAACCAACTTCACAAATCGAAAATACCGCAAAATGCCGAAAACACCAAAACACGTCCAAACACGGAAAAGTTAACAACCCTTCTAATACACACAATATGAACATTACATATACCTGGCCATGAAGCTATCACAATGAACTAAACAACCAAATTAAATTTCAACATCGAACTGACCATACCATGATGCAATCAACCAATACGCATACACCCTCCCGATAAAACACAGATATGAGAAAATCAAATATTTGAAATACGGGCCATCAAACCCTACATTCAAGTTAATATCTCAACAACAAGATATGCCACGAACATAATGCACACACCAACGGAAAGCTAAAACATTAAACAAACCATCTGAACCATCAAAAGACAATTTACCTACTATAGACCCGTGCTAGTCACCACCAAACTCAAACCAACTCAACAAATCGAAAATACCGCAAAATGACGAAAACACAAAAACGCGACTAAACACGAAAAAATCAACAACTCTTCTAATACACACAATATGAACATAACATATACCTGACTATGAAGCTGAAACAATGAACAAAACAACCAGATTCAATTTCAACATTGAACCGACCATACCATTCTGATACTCAAAGCATCTTTCTGTTTCACCTGAAACATGCTCTGATATTATGAGGGATATTCTGTGATCTGAGCACATCAGATGGGAAGATTTATAAGTGTGATATTTATCATGTAATCATTTACCTTATGTCAATACATTACATAATAGCCATTGTATTTAACAGCAGAAATTAGCACAGGCACAGGTACACAAGTTTAATGACCCCAATTAGATGAAATATGAGCTTGGATAAAAGATCTCAAAAAATCCTCAATTTTGGGCTCTCCTGGATCGCCAAATCAAGCTCATTATATCATGGCATCTCAGAGCTGAGAAGAATTGAGATGTCATGTTTTATCATGATGCGACCATACCCCGATGTAATTAACCAATACACATACACCCTCCCGATAAAACACAAATAAGGGAAAATCAAAATATTTAAAATACGGGCCATTAAACCTTACATTCAAGTTAATATCTCAACAACAAGACAATTTTTGTAAAAATTCAAAACAAATCTTTTTGCCTCACTTGTCATGATTACACCCCCCCCCCGACCAAAAGTCATGTTGGCTCCGGCCCGGGGGTTCTATTGAAAACTATATCATCAACGTTTTATCATTATGCAGAAAGTCCAATATGAAATCTAAATCAGGTAAATATGTTGCATTTATTGAAGGAATTATAATACACTGTAAACTACAATGTTTGATACGAATATGAATACATCCATACAACCATATTCTCAAAATCCATTCTTTTGAAATAAGATGTTACAACAACGGCAATTGAAAACTTTGAACCTGGGAATCTAAACTACAGTGGTAATTAACTTTCTGATTGCTAATTATGTGTATCAACTCTTTGATTGCCCCTCAGTTGGAGATTAAATCTTAAAATTTGATCAAAGGGATTATAATTTTCCCCGTTTCTCTTATCTATGTTACAATGTGTATATTCGTTATTGTGTCACCGGAATGTTTTGATAAACAAAAACAAAATGTTTTTTGGACATCAACATTAGACAAAAGTTCAATATACCATTCTAGATACATTGTATATTTGTTACATCCTTCATACCAGTGTAAGAAGCTCAAACGGACGCCAGTTTTGATTATATGGTAATGTTAATATATTCAGCATGGTTTAAAACAATTGGTGGATTTGGAGGGGGGTGACAAGGGGACCCGGGAGGGGACATTATCAAGGTGGTTCACGGGGCAAACTTAGGCATTGGCAAGGGGGTAGGACATACTCTGGTGAAAAACTGTCTTCTTTTTGGCTCTTGAGACACTTCTTCACAGATCTCTTCGGCAATATAAGACCCATTTGTCTGAAAATAAGGTTCTTTTTCTTGTTACTTCGAATTAACCACTTTAATTATGTGGACATACAATTTTTCGAAAATTACAAAAATGCTCACAATAAATTAATCTTAATATTGGCTTGATCAAATATATCTTTAAGACCCTTAGTCTTTTGAAATTTCCAAACCGTATAATACACTACCATGTTTCGCATGGGTATATTCTCATTTATATTCTAGTTTGATTTAT